TTCTTTTGGCCTTCGTGGTCATCTCCCTTTCTTTCGCCGCAGGTTCCTCTCCCGTCGTTCCTTTCGGGTGCGCCTTGGTACCGCGCTCTCTGCCTCTTTTCAGCAATACGAAGGTGTGCCCCAGGGTAATGTTCTGAGCACTACTCTTTTTCTGGTTGCCCTCAATGGTCTTCTTTCTTCTCTTCCTTCTGGTGTCTTCTCTGCTCTCTATGTCGATGATCTTACCCTTTGCTGTCAGGGTGATGATTCGCCTCTCCTTCAGCGCCAGCTTCAACTTGCGATTGATGCCGTGTCGTCTTGGGCCGCCGATCATGGCTTCAAGTTCTCTACTTCTAAGACTTGTGCCATGACTTTTACGCGGAAACGGGTTGTTCTTCGTCCCTCTTTGTCATTTTATGGTCATCCCCTTGAATACAAAGATTCCGCAAAGCTTTTGGGGTTATTCCTTGACACTCGTTTGTCTTGGTCTCCCCATATCTCTTTCCCCATATCATATTTCCCATTTTCAACCTCTGAATATTATCCTTTGCCTGCAATTTGTTGTTTATGAATTTATAGAATAGACCTGGTTCTGTTTTACATTTGTCTGCAATCCCTTTTTCAAAATTTCTTTCTGCCTCTCGTCTCACTGCCGTTTAGTTGTTTCTCGCATCTTTGTATCGCTGGTATGTTTGAGGGTTTGGCCTCTTCCTGTATTAATTCCATTTTTGTGTCTTTTGGTCTCTGGCCCTCTCGCAATTTCTATTGAACCAATCCTGTTTCCTAGTTCTGCATCTTTGTTTTGGTATAAATTTTGTTATGCCTTTATCATATATTTCACAAAACTTGACATACATCTCATTCACTTCCTTGTCTAGCATCAAGTCTGTCCAATTATACTCACTAAAAAAAATTCTAAGGTGGCCATAATGTCCTCTCCTGAAGTCAGGTTTTTCAACTGCTTCAACCTCCTTATTTTCTTCCAGATTATAACGCATTGCATACTTTATTCCCAAAAATACATGGTCAATTCTACCCAAGGGAGGAAGGTACTGAATGTCAAATATCTCTTCCTCCTTCCTGGTAAATATCAAATCTAGCATGGAAGGAACGTCCCCTTCCCTCATCCTCGTTTAACATGTTGATACAAGAATGTTTCCAGGATGAGGTCTACAAATCTACAGGTCCAAAAATCTTCTGTTTTAGCTTCATATGCTTCCCAGTCTATGGATTTCAAGTTGAAGTCACCGACTATAAACAGTCGTGATCTATCGTTATCCGCTCTCGCTATAATTTCTCTCATTATTGTTATAAGACCTTCACATTTACTTCCTAGCTCCTCCTTTGACCATGTGCTGCTTGGTGGTGGACTATATGCATTTATGATCATTAGTTTATCATCCTCATGGCAGATCTCTAGTGCTATTATGTCAACTTCTTGTGGATTGGCAGTCATTATTTCTTTCACCTTTAGGTATTCTTTCACCAGCACAGCAATGCCACCGCCTTTCCTAATTTTTCTGTCCCGTCTCCAAATTGAGTAGCCCCTTGGGAATATGACCTCATTTAAAATAACATCTTCAAGTTTTGTCTGGGTGAGTCCAACAATGTCTGGTGTCTGCAGCTGTATTACATCATTTAACTCCAGTATCTTCGATCTCACTCCATCTATGTTGGTGTATGCAATCTTCAGGAACTTGTTCCCCCTCTCCTTATTCTTCACTTCCCCTCTCTCTATTGATTTTGTTGGTTTGCCTTTATGTACCACTTTACTGGCCTGCCTACCCCTATCACTTTGTAGAAAAAGAATTGATGTCTTCTTCATTCCTGCTCTCATTTAAACTTTTTGCCTCGGCGAGGTTCAGTTTCAGCTTCTCTCTGTCTTCTTTTGAAAGATCTCGTCTCAACGACCACTTTTTCCCATCCTAATCACATTGTAATTTTCTGGCATTCCTTAGTACTTCTTCCATCTGTTTGGCACCATTTAGGGTGATCCTCAAAGGTCGATCTTTCCCTTTTACGCATTTGCTTATTCTCCTGTAGTCGCACACATTCTCTATGGTAGTAAGACCTTCTACGAGGCCAACAATTTTATCTACTACTTTCGCTTCTTCTACAGCTCTTTCTGACCTAGATGTTATCTCCTTTTCTTTGCAACCAAAAATTATCAGGGATTTGCTCCGATCAACTGTGTTTTGCACCAACTTCGGGTTAGATGCCAATTCCTTTCTCACTTCTAGCCTAATGTTTGTTTTATCTTGGTTGCTGCAGTGTTTGGCTTCCTTTACTGCTTCTACAATTTTTTCCTTCTCCTTGGCCACCTGTGCATAGGTGAGTTGCATATCTTTCTTGCACTGTTCTATTCCCTGTGTAACTTCTTCCATCTGTGCTGACAAAAGCTGTTTCTCCTATTGAATTTCCTTACCTAACCTATTGAAGTCATTTATGTTTAAATTTACTTTAACTTCTTCCAAAGCTATTTTAAGAGTTTATTTTCTTCTTCCATGGCTTTGCAATTTGTTTCCAATTGATTTTTATCCGTGCACAAGTCTTTCACTATATCCTCAAGAAATAAAACTTTGCTATTCAAATGGTCATTACTTTCTTTCAATTTACTAATTATTTCTACAGGAGAGTTCACTATAGTATCTAATTTTACCAACTTGTTGTGTAGACTACTAATACCAATGCTTTCTTCGTTGAATCCCGCAAAATCAAGCTCTGTTTTGTTTTTCCTCTTGCCGGCGGCCATCTTGAATGTTCTTCTCTGCACGTGAAACACTAGGGCAACTTTTTCTCATTTGATTTTTCACTTCCCTTGGCACATTCCTGTTATCTCGCCTATTTTTCAAAAGCACTATACCTTTATGTTCTCTGGGACACCACTCACTATCATCAACCTGTACTACAATACTTAGGATTGTTTAAATATGCTGGAGCTCCTCTGATGCAAGTGTTGACCCTAGGGGTGTCACCTTTTTCAATGTGTGTATGTGATGGTGCACCGATGCCAAAACAAACCAAATACAGTATCCACTCAATTTAACGGCCTATATGGGGCTGTACCCTAGTCGTTATTTCCGGAGCTCCGTTATTTCCGAAGTTAAGTCGGGTCGGGTAATTTTTCAAGTAACATTCAGGTAGGATATATTTTATACTGTATAACTAAAATTAAATAAAGTTCATTGTGTAATTGCATTCCAATTTAGTGCCACACCGACGATTAAGCCAGTTGTTGGCTGCTGCATGGATGATGTGTGAACACGGTCTGATCAAGCCCAGATGGGTGGAAAAAAATTGATTCATTCCTTTGTATTGCAAAATATTTCGTGTATCAATCAGCAAGTTAATATTTTCTCAATAATATTTTAGAGATGTGTTTTGATTTACCCTGAACAGTGCAGGTAATGTATTTTTAATGTTACAACACACGCTGTGGCGGCCATGCCATAACAATGGCGATCGAGCCTTGTCACCGAGAGCTAGCCAAGACGAAATATTTTGAGCTCACCTATTCTCTGCTGATGATAGAATATACATTTGCAGAGACTAATATGTAGCTTTTGTTGCATGTTCATGTGTTTTGATTTACCCTGAACAGTGCAGGTAATGTATTTTTAATGTTACAACACACGCTGTGGCGGCCATGCCATAACAATGGCGATCGAGCCTTGTCACTGAGAGCTAGCCAAGACGAAATATTTTGAGCTCACCTATTCTCTGCTGACGATAGAATATACATTTGCAGAGACTAATATGTAGCTTTTGTTGAAAAAAAACAATTAATATCTTGTAATACTATAATAAAATTGGTAAATTGACTTACTTTTAATGAAGCTGAAGATTACGAAGCTGTGAAGATTACATCATCCTCTGCAGCGCTTGTTTTATATTATTTATATTGTATACAGGATACATACTGTATGTACACTTATTTTCAGGCATATTTTAATAGAGTATCCTTCTGTTTCTTGATGTCACTTACTGTACTTTTCCCGATGTTAAACTCTGCTGCTGGTCGTGCATGAGAATATCCTTTATCAAGTTTCTTAATTAACTCCAGCTTCTGTGCAACCGTCAGGCGCTTCCTTTGGGTAACTTTTGGCATTTTGTAAATTAAAAAGAAGATCACAATTACAGTACAGTAATATCCTTCACAATTGAAGCTAGCCGCGCGAGTTCACAGTAAACAATGGGAACACATGGCCCGGCGGAGTACATTCTAGGTCCGTGGGAAAAAAAATACCTAGTGCCTATACTATAAAAGGTATTTAATAAGAAAACAAAGACTTTTGCTTAATAAAAACTGTTTCAAAATATTTTATTAATAATAATTTACAATTTTCTTCATTAAAGTGAATCATTTTAAAAGAAAATTAAGATGTAATATATGACTCTGGACGATCCAGGTCAGTGGCCTGGTCGCCATGTGAGGGGACGCTGATGCCACAACAAACCCAATACCGACCGTCGGTAATATCGACCGCAGACCGGTATAGCAGGCTCCAGATACCGGTCTCCCAAACCGGTCGTTAATACCGGCAGATCGGTATAAAAGAGACCGTTAAATTGAGTGGATACTGTCCTATGGTTTTATGGTCCGCCAGCTACTAATCTCCAAACTGGCTGTTAGAACTGGCGGAGTGCTAAATAAGAGGTCCTTAAATAGAGTGGATGATACACAAACGACTTGATAATGATCCTGGATGGACTGAAATGTCATTGTTTCTTCATCTTCTCGTGTGTGGTTTGGTCATCATGATACTGTATATTGATACTCCATAATCTTTGGATTTTCAGCATGAATTTGTTACCACAATGCATGCTTCTAAAGGTGTTGGGAGAGAAGAATTAAGGGAACATTAGAGTAGAAAGGAACACATGCACTTAGGTGTCTTGAATGTCTCTTGAAAAGTCTGCCTTTTCTTCAAGTCCCAGAGCTTTAGTTTGGTAATCTAGCTGTATGGTATGTATGAGCAAAAACAGCATACTGTTACTAATTATTAATACACTTTCCACAGATACAACCTTGGCTCAGGAGAAGTAGAGGAAGTGAGAGGCAAATGTGAAGCAGTAATGAAGGCAGTGATCACTGTTGGATTAACGAGTCCCCCTGAACAGTTCCCAGAGATGGCAGACACCGTGCTGCAGGGGGTGCACATGATAGTCCCTGCGGTAGACCCTGCAGCATTTCTGGCTTTCATCCATCACTTGCTAGCAGTTGATCATGATCAAAACTTATCATGGTATTCTACATTCATGTTATATAACATGGTAAGTATAAATTAATGTTGAATATAATGTTCATATCTGTTGAGGCCTTTTGAAGCTACCTGAGCTAGTGCTGGTACTGGCAAGACTTTGCTAGTTGCACTTGGGTGCCGAGACCCACCCTTGCCTACCAGAAGTCAGAGTCTGGCATGCTGTGCAAAGTGAGAAGTGTCTGCAGATCATAGATTAACCCAAAACCATTGAATGATCCACCTTGAAGGATAGGTGCAACATGACAAGGAACTGCTTGAAGGAAATAAGGACATGCAAAGTAAACATGACAAACAATTGTTGCAGCTGGGTAATTAACTTATTCGTGAAACGTGGGACAACCACCATATAGTGCCACAATCCACTTGGGGTCTCGGACAGCCTGCCACACCCCATATAAGTTGATTTTGACAAACCACCGAATCCTAATGGAATAAGAAGGAAGAGCAGGGATTGGGAACTATTAGGCACCTTCTGAAAAAGAATTACAGTTAACAGCTGATTTCTGATGGTGACCCCCCTCGGTAGCGTCCTTTTCTATGGAGAGCCCCTCCAGCTTCCCGGAGTTTACCGGGCTGATATGTATGTACTGTATTAGACTGTGGCATCAGTCAGTTCGATTGGAGTTCTTGCCTTACAGGGGACCACGAGCCAGAACCTGGCCCCCTTCCCCCCTCAAAGAGGCACGAGGAGCAATGGCCTATAGAAACCCCTATGTGGTTAGAAGCATTCCATGTCTGCCATCGACCAGGCTAGGCACCCAGAAAAGTAGGCATCCCAAAACAAACTCCACCTGGTTCAAAATTGCTACTGAAAGCCGAACTATCAAGCAGAACTCCTCAATCCAAAAACAAGCAAACAAGCATGACATCACAATTGACGCCGTGCCGCGTCTGCATCTGCGCAGCTCCTCCTCCTCCCTGGGAGGGGGAAGGGGGAGCCCCAGACCCCTGTGCTGACCATCCAACCCCAGTTCTGAGGCTTGTCGAGTGGTGGTCGTTCTGTGCAGTACCGTGCCTTTGCGGTGTTGTTCTGCTGTGTGGTGGTGTGCGGGCCAGGAGTAATTCACGAAGTACTGGGGTTGCATGCACCTAGGGCCATCTTCCCTATATGCCCTGTAAGTACTGCCCTTGCGGCTTGGGGTCATCTTCCACAAGTCGTTCTGGGACAACTTCTATAGGGATCTTTTGCTGCTTGGTGATTGCTTGCTCTTGGGGTCAGCTGGGGTTTTCATAGCCGCTGTTTGACCTTGGGTAGTAGTAGTAGGTAGTATTGTCTCTGGTAGGGGGTGCAAGGTACTGTGCAGCTTGTCACCTATTACACAGCAGCCAGTTCTGTTCCTCCTGGAGACTTGGTACTTTTGTGGGGGTTTTCTTTTTCTTTTTGTTTGTTACCTGGTGGGGAGTCTGCTCCCTCTGAGAGGGCCAGGGTCTGGCTTGTGGTCCCCCAGGAGGCAAGAACTCCAATTGAATTGACTGATGCCACAGTCTAGAAAATAAAAACATAAGAATGAAGGCAAATGCAGAAGGCCTATTGACCCATATGAGGCAGCTCCTATTTATAACCACCCAGTCTCATTCATATATGTCTAACCTACACTTGAAACATTGGTTACTATGTGGTAATTGGTTCCACAAATCAACAACCCTGTTACCGAATCAGTATTTACCCAGGACTTGACTAAATCTAAACTTATTCAATTTATACCCATTGTTTTGTGCTCCTTCTTGTGTTGGTACTTGCAAAACCCTATTAATATCCCCTTTGTTATGACCATTCATCCAATTGTACACCTCTGTCATGTTACCCTTAATTATTCGCCTTTCTAGAGAATGTAATTTAAGCTTTGTCAATTTTTCTTCACATGACGGGTTTTTAATTTGGGGGATTAACTTTGTCATCTTTCGCTTGATGCGTTCTAGTGAATTTATATCCATTCTGTAGTACCAGAGCAAGATATAGCTGAAGAACAACACTAGGTGTCTTACTATTAATGCTTTGATAAATAAATCGCAGTGTCCTACATGTATTTGCCTTATTACAAACATTTGTGCGTTGATTTTCTGGTGGAGCCCCCTTCGGCTCCCCGGAGCTAATCGGGCTGATATGTATGTTTTAGACCCTGGCAAGAGTCAATGTGCATGGAGTTCTAGGCCTACCGGGGACGCCAAGCCAGAACCTGGGCCCTCTCAGAGAGGCATGATGAACAATGGCCTATAGAAACCCTCACTTGGTTGGAAGCATTCTATGTCTGCCATTGACTGGGTCAGGCACCCAGAAAGGTAAGTGCCCCAGAACAAACCTCTCTTCTGGTTAAAATATTGCTCCTGAAAGCTGAACTAGTGGACAGAACTCCCCAAATGAAAACCAGCAAATAAGCATGATGTCACCACGTCACCGCGCCACTGTCTGCACAACCCCTCCGCCCCTCCCCCATCCTCCCTGGGAGGGGAAAGGGGAAGCCCCAGACCGACTATCCACCCCTTCAGTTCTGTGGCTGATGTGACTGAGCAAGGTCATCCACCACTCGCTCCTGTTTTCCCAGTTCTGTGCCTTGTGGTGTGGTACCCACAAAGTGATGGTACACGAGCCAGGAGTTATTTCACAGCTACTCGGGCTGCATGTGCCTAGGGTCCCCTTCCCCAGGTGCCCTATAAGTACTGTCCTTGGGGCCACCTTCCACAAGTCATCTTGGGGTCTTCCTCCGCAAGGCCTATGCTACTCTGTGATTGACTGCCCTTGGAGTCGGTTGAGGTGTTTCATGCACTAATGTTTGCTTGCTCTGTTCACTTGTCTCAGGGTGACACTTGCTGGTTGTGCCTCCATCATGCTGCCTGTTGGGTCGGTGACACCTTCGACCCGGAGTCCTGCGAGTTTTGTTCCTTGTTTGTGTTGGTCGCTCTTTTCTTGTCAGCGTTGGCCTCTGGGGTTGGATCGGGTAGCTTCCTGGCACTTTGATTTTTGCTCTTTTGGTCCTCGTGATAGGTTTGTTCACTTGCAGCCGTCTCCTTCTTTTCTGGCGAAGAATGAGACTGCTGCTTTCTGGAGGGGTCCTTGGGTTGTTGAGGCTTGGTTGGTCAGGCCAGGGGTGCATCGTGTGTTGTGTCCGGTTGCGGCCCTCCGCCGTTATTTGCGCGCCACAGCTTCTGTGTCCGGGGGGGGGGGGGGGATGTGCTTTGGATTGATCCGGTTTCCCTTCTTCCCTGTTCCAGGGTGCTGGTCTCTCAGGTAATCCGCAGGGTTATTCGGTCCAGCCATCCTGCAATCTATCCCTGTGCCCACGGTGTTCGTAAGTTTGCTGCTCTTGCTGCTGTCTTTGGCAACATGTCTTGGGCTGACATTCGGGCACGAGGATTTTGGCAGTTGAACAGGATCCTGGCTGTGCGTTACATAGTTAATGTTCCTGGGCCTCATAGGGCCTGTGTTGCTTTGGGTCAGCAGTTGCAGCCAGTTGCCTCAGCTTTGTGTTGAGGAGCGAGCAATGATCGCCTCCCAGATAAGTCCCTCTTGTTTTTGTCTTTTGGAAAGTAGCTCTGGGGAGTCGATGGAGCTCCTCCCCAGAAAACCAACGTTGATTGTAATGAATCGCCATTTTCTGGGTGAGACCCGGAGGCTCCCGGGCAACCCTCCCTCCCTCCGATTGGTGTTTTTTCACGCATTTTTGACATCCAGCCTCAGAACTGGGGTCTTGTCTTGGGTAGCCAGTGCGAGGGGTCTGGGGCTCCTCCTTACCCCTCCTGGAGAGGAGGGAGCTGCGCAGACAGTGGCGTTGCGACGTCATGCTCGTTTGCTCGTTTTTGTTTGGAGAGTTCTGTCCAGTAGTTCGATTCTCAGTATCAATTTTTTTAACCAGAATAGGGGTTTGTTTTGGGATTCTTACCTTTATGGGTGCCTGACCCGGTCGATGGCAGACATAGGGCTTCCAACCACATGGAGGGTTTCTGTAGCCCATGGCTTCTTGTGCCTCTCTGAAGGGGGAGAAGAACCACGAGCCAGGTTCTGGCTCGTGGTTCCCTGGTAGGCTTAAAGAACTCCATTCACACTGACTAATGCCAAAGTCTAATATTAAAGCTGCTATTAGAACAATATCTAACTCTGGCCCCAGACAGCACTCGGTACCCTTACTCAAATCTCTGAATGTTATATTAAGTCACTGCACATTCTCTCTTGTGTACTCTATATATTTAAAACTCTGAATTGTAATGTCAATCCTGACCTTCAACGCTTCCTAGAAGGTTGTAACAGAACTCATGTGCACCACACCAGAAACAAATACCTATTTGATATTCCAAGAGTTAGACTTAATCAAACTAGGAATGCTCTACAAATCAAGGGACCCAGAATGTGGAATGGCCTTCCCAATTATGTCAAAGATTGTACCCCTCTCAACCAGTTTAAGATGAAAACTAAGTTCTATCTAATTAACTCCATGTAACCTACCTACCTTCTAAATGTCAACCCATGTCTTACTATTTAAAAAAAAAAAAAAAAAAAATGCTGTTTGTTGACCAACTTGAATATTGGCTATTTTCTACTATGTTCCCCCCTTTTTTTTATCTTTTATTATTATTTCTTCATTCAACACAATTTATACTTTAAGCTCAATTACTATTAAGTTTTAGTCTAAGTGTTTTCCCCGACCTCTCCTTGCCCGAAACACTATGCGTACTAGTGGCTTTAGGTATTGTATGTACTACCTCTATCTTTAAATCTAACAGAATGTTTGTACTGTAACTCTGCAACTTTGTATGTACTGTTCCTAAATAAATTATTTTTATTATTATTATTATTATTAGCAATATCAGCTTGGATAGCTCTGGGGAGCCTCCGGGTCTCACCCAGAAAATGGCGTTTCATTACATTCAATGCGAGTTTTGTGTTCAGAAAACGAAAAAGCAGAAAAACAATGAAATTCTGCCCAAAGAATTTAAACTTTGTCGTCACTAGGCGGGATACACTTGTAAACTGAGGGTGTCTCTTCCCACACCTAGCAAAATCCACGCGCTCGTCAT